ACCCGAGCTCCCGTGCGGGGCTGTTTCTAATTCATTGGTGGACGTTCGCACTTCCGTTTGCGAGTCCCCTCGCTTTATTCCGATAAGCCCGGGAGGTGTAGCCCTCGACCCTTGATTTCGAAAACCCCGTGGGTTGTACCCCTCGTTCCTTTACCTGCATTTTACTCCCAAAACCCCGTGGGTTGGAACCCTCACTCCATCTTTATTTTGGAAACCCCGTGGGTTTTACCCCTCATTCCTTTTACCTGCATTTGACTCTGAAAACCCCGTGGGTTTGGACCCCCAATTCCTGCCGTGGTTTCTGGTAACTGCCGGGGTCAGGGGTTGCCTCTCGGTTTCCTTTATAAAAAAGTTTAAGAAGCGCGATCGTGGGAGCGACACCTCCCCCCCCCCCAACCCTGCTCATTCGCGGGGGCACCTTGGACGCCCCCCGGCTCGAGAGGGCGTCCGGGCGTCGGTGGAGCCGAGGTCCCCTCTCCCCGCGTTCGGGGGGAGCGAGGGCGGGAGGGGAGGGGGGCTGCCTGCGCCCTCGGTGGTTTCCGATGCTCTTGTCCTCGACCCGGACACCGCCTGGGAGGTAGCGGGCGCCCCGTCAGTACTGAGCCCCGTTAACCGGTTCCAAGTCGCAGAGGCTTGGCCGTTGGTTAGACGGCGGGGCGAGCCCTCGGGATCGGGGGGGACGAGGTCCTTCCGTCTGATGGGAAGTCCGCGGCTCCAGCAGAATCAGAACTCCACCGGGTTTTGACGCTTCCATTTGCACCCCCCAAACTCCTAGCCTCTGGCCCCGCTGGAGGCTGCCGCTGCCCCACATACCATTTCCAGAAGCTTCTGAGCGTGAACCAGCCGGTGCCCTTAGGTGTGACATTGCAGCTAAGGAGACGGGATGTGTTGGTCAGGCGCTTAAAGCCGCGGTAGGAAAGGGAGCAGGCGGTGCAGCCATGCCCGTGAGTTGGGGTGCAGCGTCCATCCCTCATCTCCCGGGACCCGCACCAGCAGGAGGAGCTAACGGGGACGGCAATCTCTCTGCCTAGATCTCAAGGCTTTCGAGAGGCGACTCACGGAATACATTCATTGCTTGCAACCTGCCACTGGGCGCTGGAGAAGTAAGTGCCGGATGCTTTTGTTTTTTTAAAGGGGAAATGGACTGACAGTGGATACTTTTCTCCCTGCCTCGCAGTGATCTACTTTTATGTAAAGGTTGAGTAACAAAAACACTGGCTTTACTGAACCATAGGTGTTTCCTTTTGTTTCCACAGTTTCTAAATGTATTTAGCATCGGAAACAATGCACTGTAAAGAAATTTTTAAGAAAGGGAACTGGCCACCCCGAAGAATAATCTCTTTTTTTTTTAACATTTAAAAATATATATATTTTTTATTGATTTCAGAGAAGAGAGGAGAGGGAGAGAGGGATGGGAGAGAATCATTGATTGGCTGCCTCCTGCATGCCCCCTATTGGGGATTGAGCCTGAAACTGGGGCATATGCCCTGACCCGGCATCGAACCGTGACCTCTTGGTTCATAGGTCAACACTCAACAATTAAGCCACACCACCCAGGCTGAAGAATAATCCTTGTGGTTGAATTTTCATTTTCCCATTAAAATAGACATACTTTTATTTTTTTATTGAACAAATATTACAAATTTGATAGACAACACATATGATAAAATTCTCAGTAGCCTGTTTAGCAGTTTTACAATTTACCTGCAAATGATTGGAATAAAGTTTTGTTAAGGAAAAAATATTTATCATATATAGAGTGGGGCAAAATAGGTTTACAGTTGTGAGTGCAAAACAGTTTATTCTTGTATTATTATTTTGCTAGAGGCCTGGTGCACAAAATTCATGCACCAGGCCTGTAGTCCAGGACCCCTTGGGGGATGTTTGCCTGCCAGTTTTCTTCTGACTACTTTTTTTTAAATATATTTTATTGATTTTTTACAGAGAGGAAGGGAGAGGGATAGAGAGTTAGAAACGTCGATGAGAGAGAAACATCGATCAGCTGCCTCCCGCACACTCCCCACTGGGTATGTGCCCGCAACCAAGGTACATGCCCCTGACCGGAATCGAACCTGGGACCCTTGAGTCCGCAGGCTGACGCTCTATCCACTGAGCCAAACCGGTTAGGGCTCTTCTGACTACTTTTAAGATGTTCTCTGCCTTTGTTATTTTTTGTAGTTTCCCTTTAATGCACCCAGGTATTAATTTTCTTTTTCCTCGCAGTCCAGGACCCTCCAGGGGATGTCCAATTGCTGGCTTAGGACATCCCTGCCGGCAGTTGGCCATCCCTCTTGCAGTCCAGGACCCCTGGCTCCTTACTGCCCACCGGCCCGCTGCTCCTTAGATGCTCCCACCACCGCCGCTGCGCTCGCCAATCATGAGCCCGGCTACTGGCTGAGCGGCGCTCCCCCTGTGGGAGTGCACTGACCACCTGGGGGCAGCTCCTGCATTGAGCGTCTGCCCCCTAGTGGTCAATGTGCATCATAGCGACCAGTCGTTCTGGTTGTTCTGGTCGTTCCACCATAATGGTCGCTTAGGGTTTTATTATATAGATTATTTTCCATAAGAACAACTGTAAACCTACTTTTGCCCCACTCTGTACTTGCAAAGGTTATGAAATTCGTTGGTTTTGACAGCATGGTTATGCTGCTTAAGAGCCTAACCTAGAAAAAAATTTCACATTTTTACTGTCTATTCACAAATATCATGAATATTGCAAAATATGATTAGAAAGAATTGAGGTTACTGCCCAGTGGAAACATAAGCACATACAGGCAAATGTACAAATGATGACGTCGGCAAACAGAACGCTTTGCTGACTTACGTTGGGACCAGTCTTAATTTCTTGGAGGTTTATTGTTGAACCTGATTCCGGCCAAGAAAGAAGTGCAGCACCCATCAGGGACATGCTGGGCTTCGAGTGTCACTCGGTAGTGGGGCCAAAAGTAGTGAAGGTACAGGTCTCTCAGGTCAAGATTTCTGGTGTAATTTTTATTACATCTGTTTGCAAAGTTTTAATCCTATGCCCTGAGAATTCTCATTGGTCAGAATTCACAAGTAGTGATTATTTCTGGTCCTCTGGTTTACTTAGGATTACCTCCAAAACCTTGTTTCACTGCTACTTGAGAATCTTTTAAAATATATGTGACGCTGCCCTCGCTTATAAAATGCATCACAGTGACCATACTTTACCTCTCCTGGTTGTGGTCTCTGCTTACCTGTAAGTGACAGCATGGTTAATGTGTGTATATAAAAGTAGGTGTCTGAGCATCCCCTACTTGGCTTATTTACAATAAAACTGTACTGTAGTATATTTCTTCTTGGAAACAGAATTATAGGAAATTGAATTTAATCTGTTCTGAGCTGAGAACTAATTTTGAAATTTTGATTGTCATTAAATACTTAAAATGAGATTGTTTTTCTGTGATTTGCCTCTTCTTAAAATAAATTGCCAGGACTTCTAGACAACTAAGGATTTAATATATTTCTATTGCTCTCTGAAGCTTGAACTCTACATTTTAAAACTGTGTGTCCCAGCTGGAAGACAGTAACTGTATTGATCAGAATATTAACTAGGCCTTGGCGCCTTTTTATTATTTTTCAGTAATGCCACTTACCAAGTTTTACTTATGATTTATTTAGAACGTTTAAAAATAATTCTAGCAAAGTGGGGAGAGAGAAACCTTATTTAAGACTTACTATCAGTCATTTCTACCCCAGCCTTCCTTTGAGTCCCTTAAAGAAAATCCGATCCCGATTCCTGTGCTCCATACACAGTCACACTGACCTTTGTTTAATGAAACAGCAGTGGTCTGCAAGGCAAACCCTTTAGTGGGAATTCACGGTGCATTCATAAAGGGGGCTTTGTTTGGTTGGTTACATTGGAAAATGAGAGGGGTTTTGTTTTGCTTTTTATTTGAATTTGCAAAATCAGTACAAAACACTGGAAGTTATAACGTAGAATCTTAAAGTTTTACCAGCTTGTTTTATTGCTTTAGTTTCATTAACTTTCATATGTCTGACTAAAGTAACGAGGGGAACAGCGTTATCTGCAGTAACTCAGGCCACAGGTGTAGAATTCCTCGGGTTCATGCAAGCCCCCATGCCGTTTCCTCAAGTGCGCTGCCTTTGCTGTCATTGATCAGTAGCTGGTGGCAGCAGTGTCACCTGCTCAGAGCTCATTCCTTACTAATTTTGTGTTTATCTCTCATCAGTGCTTCTTATAGTGGTATCTGTCTGTACGGCTACTGGTGCCTGGAACTGGTTAATAGACCCCGAGACACAAAAGGTAGAAGTTTTGATTTAAAATCTTTAATACACTAAATGCGATACTGGCTATAACAGTGCTTTGTTCATTGAAAGTGTTAGATGCTGCTGCCTGTTACTACTAACAGTGATATTAATCATCATGTTAAAAACATGCCTTACATTCATGTGCTGCAGAAAACCTCGGGCTGGCTATTGGGAATTACGTATCTTTACAGGGGAAAAGGCCTAAGAAATGTAACTCCACTGTGACTACTCCTCACTCATTTCTGAACTTGCGTGCCGCTTTCCGTGTCTCATCTGTCCCTGTTTTTACGTCCCTGGGTTTATAACATAGTCTTCGTTCTGCTTCAGTTAGTGTCCTCGGGGCCAGCTCTCACGAATTACAAAACAACATTTTCTCCTATGAGCTCCCTTTGTTAATACCTTTCCTCACCCCATACAGCATTGAGGCGGCCTGGTAGGAAGCAAGTGATAAAATAGCACAATATAAATGTAATAAAAAGTCAAGACTAGAAATTAATTCGACTTGGAGGACAAAACCAGGAAGGATCCCAGGTCACTGACAGTGTAGCCATGTGCACCAGCACAGTTTCCAGAATTGAGTTACAGATTAGCCTCGGAGGCACCCAATCAATAAGGTCACATCCAGTTCCATGGTTTTCATTATCTGGGAAGATATACGTATAGGTTTCTTAGCTAGCAAAGCGTTTATTTCCTTAGCGTTTATCTCCAAAAAAATTTCCTGCCTGAAGTTTAATATAGGAAACACCGAGAGCACTCCCGTTGGGCACTGCCGGGAGTATCCCTCTACCAATGCAATAACAGGGTTCATAATGTTATTTCTCGAAGCATCCTTTGATGAAAGCTGGCAGCATGCCTCTCACATTCTGCCTCTTTCTACTAACCTGGCTCTTCATTTCCAGCTCGGGCTTTTTTATTAGAGAAGCAGTCGTCTCCAATTTATCAGTGAAGTCGCCCCCCCCCCACCCTTGCAGCTTTATTTATGTAATAATGTAAATTTATGTAAAAACGTTATTTATGTAAAAATTTATAATTTTCACAAATCTTAATCCCACTTCCCCATTATAAACTGGAATTAGGTCGCCCATTTCAGTAGCTGCATTTATGACCTTTTATACAGGAGAAGAGCCTGCTGGGAAGGCTTGTCAGCAGGCTGCGCGGCAGCTCAGGCAGCCGGGGTTCCTTACCATGTAGTCTCCTGCCTGGATCCACTGGGGGGGGTTGTAATAAGCAGGGGAGGCTGGTGATGGAACTTTATGTTAATAGAGGGCTTTTGTGGCAGAACGGAACTCTCCTGTGTGTTCATTTATAAAAACCCGATCTTAAGGCTGCACTTGGTACTCCTCTGTAGGGGAAGAGGGAAGGAAGCTGCAAGAAGATTGAAAAAGGTCTGTCCTGGGAAATGAAGCTGACTTCTAATTGGGAAAAATACAAGCTGATTTTCAGCTAGTTGAGATCTTAATAAAACACAGAATTAAATGTAATTTGAAATAGGCCCAAAACTCTGTAGTTAATATGATTTTCTAAATTAGGTGAGAATGTGAGGATTAGCCTAAGGGTTGGCTCTGTATATTTTAGTATTTAATAAGCTCCAACCTGACAAGCCTTTTCAATAGCAATTGTGTCTGTGGCCCGAGATGCAGACTCAAAGCCAGAGGCCAGCTGGAGGGACGCGGGAGAGGGACCTGGCAAACCGGGAAACACGGGCCCCCAGATCTAAGGACGCTGTTGCTTGGAGGCGGTCGGTTGTGGCCACGGAGGAGAGCAGGCTGGCACCGGCTGGTCTCATTAAAGTGAAAGCACAAAACTGTCTGTGCTGACATTGCGCAGGCACATAAAGCAGCTGGCCCGTGGGGATTCGCTGTCCTCAGGTTTTGAGAAGACAGGCCTCTGGAATAGTGATCTTCCTTCAGGAGCTCATCCTTCTGGGAGCTTCGTCCTCCTGGCGTTTCCAGCCTCTTGTTGCTTCGTTTGACAAGTTTATTTAACCGGGACCATGCTAGGCCGTCTGCCAGGTGCTTTCATAAGTTCAGTCTTTGTCCTGAAACGGGTGCGCACCTCGTGGTGTGCCGGGGGTGCAGAGGCCCTGAGCTGGATTCCCTCGCTCTCCCTGACTTCCTGGTCCACTTGATTTCTGTTGCCCGATCAAATATTGGGCTTCTCTCCTTCCGCCTGCTTCCCTGTCCCCCAGGAGTCTGGTTTCAGTGCCTGCTTGTTTTCCGAACGTGGCTCCTGGACGCCTGCCCCTCCACATGATGTTAGTGTTGTGTGTGGTCCTGTTTTCTGCTATCGACTGAGGATCCAGATCTGACTCCCCCTTTTTTCTCCTGAACTCTGCTTCCTTACGGGTAGCTGCCCGTTGTTTTTCCCTGCTGGAGGGTCCCGTGGCCATCGGAATCTTAGTGGCTTCAAAAGCAAACGCATCGCTGCTGCGGGGAGGAAGGGGAGGCTGGAGTTGAGTATAGAGGATGTGCAGGATTAGCCGGGTGGAGAGGCGAGAGGAAGAGGGCAGCGTATGTGCCCGTGCGGCAGGACGCGATTCCACGGGGCCAGGCTGCGCATGGCACAGTTTGCCCAAGTCCTGAGGAAGCTGTTTAACAGGGAACTTTTTAACTAGATCACGTGTGACTTGTGTTTTCATTGAGATCAAGTCCTCTTCACTCCACAAGACTCGTGTCGTGGCGCACGAGCTGCCTCAGACGTTGGGAAAGCCCTGCACAGCCCCGTGTCCCTCTCGGGACGTAAGCGTGTGTGCTTTTCACTGGCCGCGCCCTGGGAGGGCTCAGTAGATAGTTGTGGGAGGGTGGCTTTTCATTACAGGAATGAATTTGTAGTGGTTCGGGTATTTGGAATGAATGGAGGGAATATTACTATATTGTCTTGCTGCATTGAAGATATAAAACATACGTGTTTTCATTTTTATTGCATAGCAATACAGAGAACTGGCATTATCGGAAGTCTTCAAATGCCCGTGTCTTAGATGATTAAGATGTTACATGTGTGTATGCATGAGTGGAGAGGTAGGACGGAACCTGTGTTGTTGGAGATTTTTAACATTTTTCTATGGCAAACCCTTCTTTCCAGGTGTCCTTCCTCACGTCCTTGTGGAATCACCCGTTTTTCACCATCAGCTGCATCACTCTGATAGGCCTGTTCTTTGCTGGGATTCACAAGAGAGTCGTCGCTCCCTCCATGTATCCTTTACTCGCTGAGTTTGCTCGGAACAAAGCTGAGGCGCCTTCTCGGCGAGTGGGGCGTCGTTAACGCCTCTTATAAATGACGGGTTTTCCTTTAACCACGTTTTTCAGTATCGCCGCGCGGTGTCGAACTATATTGGCAGAATACAACATGTCTTGTGATGACGTAAGTATTTTCTTCATTTGAAAAGTACAGACGTGAAAGGACTCTGTTTTTGCTTAAGTTAAACAAGCATTAACAGTAATTGTCTCCATGGAATTAATAGTGGGAATATTCCTTATCGCATTGATTCTAAGACTTTTTAACTATTTCAGCCTCTGAAATTGAGATGTATTCAGTCAGCGGTGTCTTACCATTAAATTGGTAGAACTGACAGTTTAATTTTTCTTGATGCAAAATCATGATGCATCTCTTCTCACATTCCAGCCGTTGGTTAACATTGTAACTTGAGGGAATTAAAGTTTACTGTTGGGAAAATAAAAGTTCAGTTCAACTTTGAAAAAATTAATAAAAAGTAAAATTTACTACTGGAAAAAGAAATGCTTTTGTCAGATACATCGTTTTATTCGTATTTTATGCACTGTGGTAAAGCACATAAATTAGTCCAATTACACTAATTTTATCCAGTTGATTGGCTGATTTTTAAGTAACCAGGGAACAGGGAATACATCAAATAGAGATTGTACATGTGTGTTTTAAAGTAATAAAGACTTTGGAAGAAAGCGCCAGGCAGAGAAAACTTTGAAAGATAATTTCATTGCTTAATCTTGACTAAATATAGAGAGGTGTTCTAATACCCTTCAAGGGCCCTTTGAGGTTTATAGATAAACGGTGGTGTTTTTTAACAGAACTGTATTTAAAAACTTAATTTTTTACTGTTACAGACAGGAAAACTGATTCTGAAACCCAGGCCTCATGTTCAGTGACAGTCTGCAGTCACTGTGCCGGGACCTACAGCAGCCTTTCTTCGGAGAAGCGGCACAGAGCCATCGGGGTTCCCGTGCCGTTGGATGTGGACGGTCAGAGCGACAGCCGACAGGACGTGTGCAATATTTACCCAGAGAGCTTGACGGTGGGACTCCCAGGAGCAGCGCTGGTACCGCGGGCTGTTTGCGTATCAGTATTAGTGTCACTTTAGTACTTCAGATCCTGCAGCGGTTGCTGCAGGTGAAGTATGTGTGTATGTTACTAAGTTAAACTTAGAAACAGAACCTCATCCAGTTTTTATAATGTATTTTTGCAAACTACTGTAAATAGCAAATCAATGCCAATGTCAAAGAGGAGAGCGTCATGTGGACTTGGTTCTCCTGCACCAGTATTTCAGGAACGCCAGCTTGCCGGCTCCACGGCTCTTTAAAACCTACTGTGAGTGTAGCGGTGCCTGTCCTTCCACTCCTCTCAGTCAGAATGCGGGGAAACCACCGAGTTGGGCTTGGACTGATGAGGAAAACTCATCTTCATTATGTTGCAAGAAATCACAGATGTTTTGAGAAACAATTTTTGTTAAACCAGATAGTGAACTTCAGCCACTATTGGGGAGATATTTTCCTATTCCTTGTTTTCATTTAATGCTAAATTTACTTTATATTTTAGAAATAATTTTAAGAACACTCCAGAGGCTTCTGAAAATACCAGTTTAGTTATAAATTATGTATTGTCTGGGAATTTGATGGTTATTGTTTTAGATAATTGGGATTTTATGCTGTGGTCAGCGTGCCGTTGCACTAGGATTGCACAGTGTCCTTGATCATCCACTCCGTCACAGGAGAACTGGGGGCGGTGCCACCAACGAGAGTACAATTCTCACTGTTTAGAGAGTGTTATTGACATACTGTGTATGCATATTAGCCACATGTACTATATAACCTAGAATTAAAGTATTGGGATTGCTGTAAATATTTTAAAAACTGGACGTGCCTTTTACCTGTTTATTAGAAGATTTTGAGAAGGTTTAAATTATTTCAAGAGCAATCTTTTAAATTTCATTTGACATAAAGCTGTAAATTCAGTAATAGGACAAAAACTTTTTAACCAGGCTACCATTTCATGAAACGTGTTCATCCTGGCTTTCACGTGCATCAGGTTTTATTCTTTGAACTGTAGCAATAAAACCCTCTGCTCCTAAGAAGTCTTAAGAGGGTATTCTCTGTATTCTGCGTTGTTTTATTTTCTGTAAATTTTGTAGGTAAATATGTGCATAAAAATAAAGACTTTATATATAATCGGTGATTGGGCTTTTTCCTTGGTTTATTGTAACTCAATACAGGCTAGCTCCAAATGAGACACTTTACTTTAATCCTGTCAGTAGAGCAAATTTCCAGTAGCACTTGTACATACCCCATTTATTCAGCTATAACTTTGTCTTCCTCATTGTCTAATAACACTTGGCTCTTAATCAGGAAGTGCAGGTTTTCTCAAACTTGCATTTCCAGCTTCCTGCAAGAGGATAAGTTGGACGTAGATAATAGTGTAGTAAAGGCCTGGGGAACGAGTGGAAGGAGAAAGGTGGGGGTCAGGGGAGAAAAGGGGGTATCTGTAATACTTTCAACAGTAACGATTAAAAAGAGGAACTCGTTAGGTCCTTAGATCTTTCTGGAGTTATCAGCTTCTTTGAGTATTTTGATTAAAGCCGTGCGACTTCTCCCCTAGAAAGATAGGCTGTGTACATGCACACACTTTGCATGCATTTGGAGAGGATTTCCCAGGCTTCCTGGCACCAGCCTCCTTGGAGTCTCCAAGAAAGAAACTTTTGTAAGAGGTTTTTCACACTTCTAGCAGAAAAATTCGTTTTCCAAGCAAACCTTGACTCTGGTTGAAATAGGCCCAAGGGTTGTTGCCAAGTTAGTTTCTCCTCGCCACTGCCCTCACCCTCATACCTGCTTCCACACCACCAGGTAGGTATTAGTGGAGGCTAGTCCTCTGATTTTACAGGCGGGGCAGACAGCCTCAGGTTTTCAAAGTGACTTTAGATCCCAATGACTTCGTAAAGACAGAGGCAGCACCAGAACCCACGTCTCTGGACTCAGCTTGAAAGGATGTGTGAGTGTGTGCGTGTGTGTTGGACTTAATTCATGAGCTATTACAATGTAATTGTTAGGAACACGGGCTAAGCCAGGCGGGATTTGAATCTCAGATCTGCTCCTTGCAACTTTCCTCATTTCTCCTGGGTAGATAAAATGCAGGGTGGAGCAAAAGGAAGTTTGCAGTTGTGAGCACGCAAAACAGTTTATTCTTGTATTATTATTTATTATTGTATTATTTTCCATACAAATGACTGTAAACCTGCTTTTGCCCAACCCTGTATAGGGTTGGTCAGTCTCTCAGGTTTATAGAATATTAAACATGTTAATTCATGTAAAGCACTTGGCTACAAAGTCACTGCTTAGTAAATCTGTTAAATCCTAAAAGTGAAAAAAAAAGATCCCACTGTTACAACCTTACCCAATGTCAATATCTCAGTTGAAATCACCATGAGGGAATTCAGTCTGTATTTTGAACTAAGCAAACTTCTGAATAGTGGATTAAATGCAAGAGAAAGGACATTCGGCCTCTAATGTAGTGCTTATTATGTGCCAGGCTCTGTTCTTAGCACCTTTAACACTAACAATCCTATGACAACTGCATTAGGTATATTTTATTATGTCTCCATTTCACTGATGAAGAAACTGAGGCAGGAAGATGAAGGAACTTCTTAAAGGAGTCCATTCTGAAATACTAGCTGGGATTTGTCTATGTCAGGAGTTGTGCTAGGCACCAGGGACACTAAATCGTGGTTCGTCTTTTTTTGAGCACCTCCTGTACCTTAGGCTTGGTGTTAGGTGCTTCACATAATTTCATTTAAGCCTCACAATAACCTTGCTAGTTAGGTATCCTTAATCCCATTTGATTATTATAGAAATTAAATTTGGTAATTTGGCGAGGTTCAGTCGCAATAAACCGCACCAGCTGGTGGGAGGTGCATCCCATTCAAATCCAGCCTCCTTCCCAGGAAATCCCACGGGACCCCGCCCCTCAGCCAGGGGAGGATTTGAACTCAGACCCCAGAGGCTCCCTTTGCAGAGGGAGGATTTGAACTCAGACCCCAGAGGCTCCCTTTGCAGAGGGAGGATTTGAACTCAGACCCCAGAGGCTCCCTTTGCAGAGGGAGGATTTGAACTCAGACCCCAGAGGCTCCCTTTGCAGAGGGAGGATTTGAACTCAGACCCCAGAGGCTCCCTTTGCAGAGGGAGGATTTGAACTCAGACCCCAGAGGCTCCCTTTGCAGAGGGAGGATTTGAACTCAGACCCCAGAGGCTCCCTTTGCAGAGGGAGGATTTGAACTCAGACCCCAGAGGCTCCCTTTGCAGAGGGAGGATTTGAACTCAGACCCCAGAGGCTCCCTTTGCAGAGGGAGGATTTGAACTCAGACCCCAGAGGCTCCCTTTGCAGAGGGAGGATTTGAACTCAGACCCCAGAGGCTCCCTTTGCAGAGGGAGGATTTGAACTCAGACCCCAGAGGCTCCCTTTGCAGAGGGAGGATTTGAACTCAGACCCCAGAGGCTCCCTTTGCAGAGGGAGGATTTGAACTCAGACCCCAGAGGCTCCCTTTGCAGAGGGAGGATTTGAACTCAGACCCCAGAGGCTCCCTTTGCAGAGGGAGGATTTGAACTCAGACCCCAGAGGCTCCCTTTGCAGAGGGAGGATTTGAACTCAGACCCCAGAGGCTCCCTTTGCAGAGGGAGGATTTGAACTCAGACCCCAGAGGCTCCCTTTGCAGAGGGAGGATTTGAACTCAGACCCCAGAGGCTCCCTTTGCAGAGGGAGGATTTGAACTCAGACCCCAGAGGCTCCCTTTGCAGAGGGAGGATTTGAACTCAGACCCCAGAGGCTCCCTTTGCAGAGGGAGGATTTGAACTCAGACCCCAGAGGCTCCCTTTGCAGAGGGAGGATTTGAACTCAGACCCCAGAGGCTCCCTTTGCAGAGGGAGGATTTGAACTCAGACCCCAGAGGCTCCCTTTGCAGAGGGAGGATTTGAACTCAGACCCCAGAGGCTCCCTTTGCAGAGGGAGGATTTGAACTCAGACCCCAGAGGCTCCCTTTGCAGAGGGAGGATTTGAACTCAGACCCCAGAGGCTCCCTTTGCAGAGGGAGGATTTGAACTCAGACCCCAGAGGCTCCCTTTGCAGAGGGAGGATTTGAACTCAGACCCCAGAGGCTCCCTTTGCAGAGGGAGGATTTGAACTCAGACCCCAGAGGCTCCCCCTGCCCAGCGTCCTCCCTCAGGGCCTAGCGCACATTGTCCCCTCTCCAGGAACCCTCCAGAGCGTCCTGAGAGTCAGGAAAGGCTCCCAGTACAAATGTGCCAGGGCTTCTGGGTGCAGGGGGTTGTGATTCAGGCAGCACATGGGGCGAGACGGCCGAGATCCCCGCCGCCAGAGTGAGACGTGCTCTGGAGAAAACCAAGAGGAGGATGAATTGGGGGTGAGACGTTACTTTAAAGTGGATGCCCTCTGGGTGACAGCTGCCAGGAACGGGCCGGGGCGGGGGAGGAGCAGCAGAGAAGGGAGGCAGCAGAGGCCTTGGCACGGTTAAAGAATGGCAGGTTGGTGTGGCTGAGTCGGATGGGGGCGCGGTGTTATGGGAGAGGAGGGCTGGAGAGATGGACAAGGGCTTGGGGGTGCGGGACTAAAGGACCTATTCGTTCTGAGCAGGAGTGACATGATCCAAATTACCTTTTCAAAAAGGCACTCTGGCGGCTGTGCAGCCAATGGACTGTAGAGGGGGCAAGAGTAGATGTTGGTGTTTGTAGTCCTTACAACTCTGCCTCTGTCTATTGTGTTTCATTCGTTGGCTTCACAGGTCAGGGGTGCCTCAGGGATGTCCTCAGTAGGTTCCAAGACAGTGTCCCTTCATGGAGATTAGGCTGTGGTTTATTCACATTAAATAGGAAAAGCCTTTCCCCCTCCCATCCCCGTAGGCACACACCTACGCGCTTCTCAGACGGACTTGTTGCATGACCAAGTCCTTTGTTTACATCGGGTAGGACAGCGGTCAGAACAGGTGGGAATCCCGGGATTGGTTCTGCAACATCTTATCAAAATAATAAGCAATTTCGTCTGGGAAACCTTAATCCTGGTTAGAAATGGAAATACATTGGAGGGCTTCATGGTGCTTTGTGATGTGCTCTGAAAGTAACACGTGTCTTAAACTCCTCGTGTAGGAATCTCAGTGCTTGTGGAGGTTTTGAGGTTTGCGATGACATGGTGACGAAGGACATCATGACGCCCCTGGTCGCCCTGCTCCGGGAGGTATGCAGCTTCTACAGAATCCTGGGGGCAGTTGTCAGATGGAGCGTTTAGTATGCAAACTCAGGGTTTTTTGTTTTAGTACTTGGGTATTATGTTGTCTTCCCTCAAAATATCCTATGGGAATTTTATTTCTTTTCCTGGAAACACTGATCTCTCATCGTTGATAGCAGTCTCTAGTTTGTCCCCACTACCTTTATTTATATACTAGTTGGAAAAGACCTTCCCAAAACTATAGACAGATTTCTTTAGGCATTAAACTTCATACAACAAAGTAATTAGCATTCCTTCTTTATGCACCAGGTGCTCTTTTATATATTGTTAAACCCTCACAGCAGTTCACTTGGCATCTGTAAAATATCTGTTTTTTGTTTGTTTTTTTGCCTGAAAGATGACATTAAGTTCCCAGATTTAATACCGTGCCAACTTTTTTTGCGTGATTCGAGTTCCAGGATCAGGGCGCTCTCTCCCTGGCGTGCCTCTGATCCACGGTGCTGTCCTGAGGGGTGATTTTCACTCAGTGCTCTCTCAGGGTCATCCAGTTCTATGAGAGGCACCAGCCTGTTTTTTGTAAAGCAGTGGTTCCACCAGGAGTGACTTGCCCCACAGGAGCCATCTTTGATGGTCACAGCTTGGGGGTGGGGCTGCTCCTGGCAGGTGGTGACCGAGGATGCTGCTAACCCTCCTGCAGTGCACACGTCAGCCCCACAGTAGAGACTCGTCGGGTCTAAAACGCCGGCCGTGCCGAGGCAAGAGGCCCTGCTTTAGGGGACGCTGTGGATGCTGCTCGAGGCGCAGTACACAGGGGGGTCACCAGCACCCGCTCTGGAGCCAGGATGCCTGGGTCTGAATCCCACGCTACCCCCTCAGCAGCTCTCTGAACCTCAGTTTCCTGCGGTAGTGGAAGACTGGACAATGGTTCCTCTACTTCATGGGCTTGTGGT